GAAAGATGACTACAACCAATCAAAAGTATGTGAATACTTACGCTTACAGTTCAAAGGGGTCTGGGCACCTCCATTCAAAATGGCCAAAGGGGTCTGCAAATGAAAAAAGGCTGAAAACCACTGTGCTAGAGAAAGGCAAGGCACCACAGTATCACGCTGTGCGAGCCCATGGGTCACCTATTAATTGCACAGCAGTGACTGGACCGCAATTTCTGGCAGCCCGGTGGACTGAAAGCTGATTCCTTCATCTTGCTCCTCTCAGACAACAGCTGAAGATATTAAAATCCAGTTCTGGGAAACACTGTTCCTCTCTCTCCCATTAACTTATCAGCATCCTTCACCTCATCAGTCCCAGAGCTCTCATTTATAATGCTCAGAGGCCAGATTTCACCCTCTGATCTAGGCAAAGGATCCTACGGGCTTCCAAAAGCGCCACATATGCTCACCAGAAGCTGGCTCTAGCCTTCAGCTCCCCCATCTCAATACTTACCTCATTTTTTTCTACAGAAAATACCCTTCTTACAGGCTCCTTTCCCCTAGCAACAAAAACCCAATTAAAACAGGGAAGAATTGCAAGGACAGATTATGGGGCATGCCTTTTCAAGCTTTATCCTCTACCCCGCCTTCCATTTGCCGTATTTTCCTATTGGAAACACTGAGAGGTGCTTCCTTCCTGAATGCAGGGAAGGGAATAATGGACCTTGTTAAAGAAAAGTCTTGCTTAAGTGTTTACAGCAAAAGCCAAGACAAGGAGATGGACTCATTGAGAGAGACATTAGCTTTCATAGACAACAACCCACCGTATCAGCTGCTATGACTAGGTTAATGGGTTGTTTAAAGCAAGATGGTTTTCGTGGGACTGAGCAAATTAGGTTCTTTGTATTTAAAAGCCAAATCCTGCTCAACTGTTTAAGGCTGTACAGTGACAGGATCACATCAGTACTTTTCACCCCCCGGGCCATTCAAAGTGAACCCAACAGGACCCACAATTATACTGGAGGAGCTGAATGGCTGTGTTACAGAGGACAGTAGACTAGATGGTTTAAGGGTCCCTTGGGCCTTAAACTCACTGAGCTCTACTTCCCAAATGACTGCTGCCCCCAACAGATCATGCTGGACTGTCATCCAGTTGTGAACTCCAGTTTCGTATCCATGCTCTCTCTTGTTTGCAAGGACAGGCCACAGTTGGCTTCCAAACCACTCGTGTCCCAGCCTAGTTTTCAGTCCAAAAATATAAGTCAAACTCCAAGTCACGGCATTTTGTTCTTTAAACCAGAAAGTAATTAGAAACCAAACCCTGTCCAAGCTGTGCCATGCAGCTGTGCTGGGCTCTTTTTTATATATGTTGTACAAGGTGAAAGCTATTGGGGGACAGTTCCCCACAGATGTTAAACATGTAACTGCAGCTGGGTTGCGAGATACTTGCTTCATGTGCTGGCCTCCCACTGTGAATTCGCAGGCCAAAAGGTAACCACAGCCACTGCCAATCTGTCTGGCTGGAGGTTTCCACTAGTGAAATTATAAGGATGCGTAGGCTCTTTGCAGTACAGCTGAGAGCTATGAAGGGGTGGAGAGGTTCAAAATTGAACTTGTTCCTGCTTTTTTTTTTGCTTTGTATCTTTTCAATCAAGTCTGTCATTGCTTTGCTGTGTCACGCAGGTAAAAAAAAAAATCATATTTTCTTTTTGAGTTTAAGAGAGTGAGTGGGCAGCTGGACTTGGCTGCTTGAACATGATCTCATGGAAAGAGTGTTTCTAGGGACTGGGATGCACCGTGGACACTATCTGAAGGTGTTTAAAAGGAACAGCAGTGACTAAGGCTAAGCTGATCCTGACAAGACAGCAGGCAGGAAGGTAGGCAAAAAGGATGAGAGAGCAGGGGGGTCTTTGTGGGTGCATGGGGACTGCTTGGCCACTTCTCCAAAAGACCTCCTAAATGTCAGCAAAGGAGCAGCAAACCCCTCAAAAAATAGTTCAAAGTGGTTAAAATGAGCTCTGTGCCTCTAATGAAAAGGCCCTTCCAGCACTTCCCCCTGCTGCCCCTATAGATGTGCAGCCCAAATTCCAAGGATTCAACTTAATCTTCCCTTCTGCTCTCCAGCAGAAACCATGGCACTGGCTCAGAGGCAGGAGCCTGCTTCTGGCTCTGAGATGGATGCTGCAGATGCCGTGGCTCCATTTATTAACTAAGCCAAGAGTCTTCAGACAAAAGGCCTCGTTGTATTAAAGACAAAGCATCAGTCATGCAGCTCCAAGAATAAAGCAGAGCCAGAGCCTGATCCTGAGAGGTGCTGACCACCTGAAGGCCATGGGAGCTACAAGCATCAGCACTTCTCCTGCTTAGAGACTAAGAGAGCTTTCACTGTTCGTGGGTAGGCAATGGTGCGGCAAGCATGATTTAGGACCAGTCGCTGAATTTAGAAGGCAAGTAGGCAGCTCTAACTGCAAGGCTCAATGGAGGGGTCATGCATGGCTACAGCCACAGCTGGAAACTCCCTGCAAGCATCACCAAGGACAAGCCCTGGGGAACAGAGCCCTGACCAGCACTGCAGCAGACCAAGCTCCAGCAACCATGACACCAGGAACAGGAGCAAGGAGAAGCAGAGAGCCCTCCCTCCTGGCCAGAGCTTTGGTACCAGGACCCCCTCTGGCCTACTTCTGGCTCCAGCACGGACTCAGGATGCAGGTGGAAGTGCCTAATTGAAATCCTGGGACTTGGGCATCTGGCCTGCATGGGCACGTTGGAAACTTCTAAGCAGTATCTTTCTGCATCTCATAGTGCTTAAACACCGGTGAGAGTCTAGCTCTCATGACCCAATCTGCAGGGGCGCTGAGCAGCACCTACACCAGAGGAAGATGGTGAGAGCTCTGGGTGAGCAGATCCTCCTTAGCCAGGCCCTGATCTCCGTCTGTCTGCCCATCTCAGCTGTGAAACAAGGGCAGCCTGCGGTGACCACACCACCAGCGTGTGCAAAACGTTCCCTGTGTTTCACTGTTCTGGTCAGCACAGGACAGCATTTCCTGAGCCCTAGCAAGCCCCTGGTATGGGACAGCATAATCCTGAAAATCCCAATGGGAAAAACGAGTGGCATTAAAATACTTGCCATGTGCTACCTCCCCCTCCCATACACGTGCACAAACAACACAAAAGCCTTCAGAGCCAGCACAATTCAGAGGCATTCCCCGACCCCCAGCAACTGGGTGCGATGCCCTATGCCCGGGGCAGATGCACAGGTGACATCAGCCCCGAAAGCCCAGGCTGTGCTGAGCTGGCATGTGGACTGGGCCTTGCTATACAAACCAGAGATTAGGACATAAAAAGCAAAGAGCGTGGGCTGGCAGAAGAGGGGCGCTTCACAATACTGTTGCTGTTCTTACCAACAATCCCTCACCTCTGAAAACAGCAGGATTTGCTTTTTGTCCTGGGCCTGCTGGCTCTGCCATTCGCCCCTGTAATCTACCCTTTGTTTAGTTTCATGCTGCCAGAGAGGGGGTGGGTCACAGTGATGTGATGGGACACGCCACACTGATCTTCACCCTGACGGACATCTTGCACTTCATTCAGATCTCAGGCCCTGGCCCAAATACCTTAGATGAGTTACTCCACTTCTGACATGCTTATTTTAAGTCATAAAGTCCCTTGGTATATTATTAATTGTGGCAGTCCCTTGAGACAAAACCCAGCGGGACTTCATTGCACAAGGTTTTGTTCATAGGAAGCAATCCCTGCCCACTTTAAGATCTAAATCTAATCCCATTTACAATCTAAATAGGCCAGACAAACAAAGGAATAAGGGAAAGGAGTGGAGACAAATATCTTATTTCCATTTGAGGATGAATTTGTTGGGTTTTTGCTCCCAAAACAATCCCCAAAAGACAGGATAAACATCTCTCATAGAGTTTACTCAGCAATTATTAAATGCATCTGCCTCTGGGGAGGAATAATCCAGCTATTTAATGGAGGACAGTAAAACCACACTATTTAGGAAGGAAGCAGATGAACACTGAGTTTATCCAGTCCTTTGAAAAGACACAAAATTCACACAGCTTAGAAACTGCTTATGTAAGTGAAGAAACTTCTTGATAAAAGCTGTCGGTTTAATGATAGTTTTTTTCCAGCAGTAATGCCTTGGAGGGTGGGTGTTTAGACTTGGGTTTTGCCCAAAATAAGCCAATTCTGTGATTCTATGAGAACTAGTAATAACTGTAATGGGGGAAGAGGGGAGGGGGAGAGAAAAAGAAAAACTGCCAGACATCCTATTCTCTTCTACATGGATTTTTCCACTGTGCTTATCGCTGTAGCTGTGCTCTCCTTTCTCTGGTCATCACCCACTTGGTATAAGAATGCAGAATTGTACACCCACCCCACTGAGCAAAGCAACCGGTTTCATTACAAGAATAATATCCTGGGGGATTCTGATTGCACTTTTCTCCACCAGGTCAAGCAGCAGAGCAGACTGTGCTGAGACGGGCTGGGGCTGGGGCTGGGGCTGGAGCAGGATGGGTGTGGAGCCTGCAATTCCAGCAGCAAACCCTATTTACTTGCTCTCGGGTTTTTATGCCGTGGGGCACAATCGTAATTCGTTGGGGTTTTTTTTAAGTGCTGGATTCAAATACACGAGCGAATGGAAGGCTCCTCTGAAAAAGGGCTGGACTACAACACTGTCCACTAATAATCTAGCAAGGACTGTGTATCCCAGTTGTATGGCTAAACTCTGGTGGGGTGGCCATGCCCTGAAACTAGTGACTATAAAGGGTGGCTTCTCTAGGAGACCCACAGAAAGTCTAGCTTAAGGGGGGACCCACAAAGGGGCATTACTGGATGCAGTGAGCTGGTCATACAGTGATGCCAGGCTGGCGGGATAGAGACCTTCTGGGTGGAGCAGGGCAGCTTGCAGAGGCGTCTGATAGAGCCCCACCTGCATATGGAAAAACACAGGACTTCTTCACTTCCTCCCCCCGTGACCACAAAGCAAAGCCTCATCCTACCACCCAACTCACTGGATCTCTTCAGATTTCAGCCAGTGATTGAGAGAGGAGACAAGAATGCTCCCCGGAAAAGGCGGCTTCCCAGCCTCCTTCTGGATGTCAACGTGTGCTGAGTTGCACAAGGCGTGGACGCCAGCATCTGTCTCGCTGGAGATGCAGAACTTGATGGGAACGAGAGGTTTGAGATTCTGGGCTGCCTGCTGCAATGCAACACAAGAAGGGATTGTGAGCACGTTCCTGTGGAGCCCCTAGGATATGGCCACTCCTGCCTTCCCCCACGCCGCTGAAGTCACCAGGAGTTTTAAGCCACCCTCACTCCTACCAAAGTGCCTCGGTCTTTGTCCTGAGCAAGTGATAGAAGAGCAGTGACTGTGCCTGTTTAAGGCGAACATGTACAGCAAGCCTAACTGCCAGTGGCTATTCACCTATGCCTTCTTTTGAAACCAGTTTTATGCAGCTACCCTCTTGGGGAAGAGAGATTTCTCAGCCCCCACCCCACCGTGCTTACCACGACACACTGCTAAGAACCGGCGTCAGATTGCTTGAGATATAAAACTAGCCTCCCCCATCACTCCCAAATACAGAAGAGCCCTCTGGTCCTCATTGGGGCATCAGATTTGGATGCACCGAGGACTTCCATGATGAAGCCCAGGCACATGAACCACTGGGACTTTCTATTTCTTTAGGCAGTGGCTACAGTCAACCTGTACTTTCAGAACACAAGGGGTCATTTTTGGATGCCCGATGCGAAGCAGTCTAAAGCAGCCTGATTTCCAGACTGAGCACCTGCCCTTGGGAGAATCAGGCTGTTGTGAAGGGTGTCTCAAGCTAGGCACCCAAAAATAGAGGCATGAAAATTCACTTGTCACTCCTGAAAATGTAGGTCACTGTTTTTCAGATGATTTTCGTCATGGGGAAAGAGCCGAGCACTTGTGACAGATGTTAGTCATAGTCTTTGACACCCTGCTGGCAGGTTCTCAGGTGGGCTTGGAAGGGAGAAGATGGTGCAAAAGCCTAAATAATACAGTAGAAAAGATTTTTTTCCCCTTGAGATAAAAGTTACTTTCTTCTGAGGTAGCTCTGGCCCTAAAGCTGGCCTACACCAAGATGCTATACCATTCCAAGCTTTCCCTAGCCCTGGCCACTCTTCCCATATTGGGGCAGTAACTGGAGCAGGACTGAGTGAGCAGGGGTGAAATTAAACTCAGTAGCAGGCCAGGTGGGCAAAACTATTCCCACGCCTTTTAAGTGACGCTATAAAGGGAAGGAAGATGCTGGATTGCATTTGAAGCCACACGCTGGGTGTGACAACCGGTCAAGGTCCCCAGGGATTAGGTGAGGTACAGCAGCTCCTCAGCGGACACCAAGTTGCTTCCCTCTATTTGTCTACAGAGAGGTTTCAGTCGTCCTATTTCATGAAGCAAGGCCCGACTCTATTCAGGCTATCCATGCTCCTAGAAGACTTGTGGACATGGTGCGTTCAAGAGACTGATCATCAGCCTCAAGGGACTGACTTTGGCAGGTCTTTTGCGAGGTGTAAGCTTCATCCTTTTGTTTTCCATGAAGACCATCCCTGTGCAGAAAACTGCAGCTGATGACTGCAGGCATATGTTCCCCCCAAGCCATAACGGGAGCAGGGTCATAATAAGCAACAGCACGCTTCCATTAATTTTTAAAAGCAGAGGAGGAGCCAGGGGACCAGACTAGCAATAATATAGTGCTGATGTAATGGATTTCCTTAGGCCCATGGATTAAGGCCCTCTCCCAATTATATGCAGGAGTGAGATGCCAATGCATGGATGTCTAGGCGGGTGCACAAGTGAAAGGACAAATGGCACAGACCCATTTCACCTGGAGGACAGGACGGAATTTCCTTCTATTCACTGCCTACAGCATTGGACAAGGTTGCTTCTGTTTGCAACATCCCTTCCTTTCATGCTGAGACCTGCAGCCACGTTGACGCGCTGTCCCGCTCACACTGAGACTTACATCACGGCAAGACTCAAAACGGAAAATGATGCATATGTAATTTATGCAGTCTGAGGGCTGCATCTTGCTACTGCCAGAATCACCCTGCTTGGGCATGAAGCTGCAGTTGGGATGTTCGTGTTAAAAAATGTAAAATGATGCACCAGCATACTGATCCTTTCCAATTTTCAAGAAAAGGGGGGGAAGCAGCTTGGGACCAGTCAGATTTTGCATAATGACTCGGGCAGGACTGATGAATTAAAAACCTGTTTATAGAGCCATCAAACCAAACCTGTTTACAGGGCCATCACACCATGGTCTGTGTGTGTGTGTGTGTGCGTGCACGCGTGCGCATGTAAGGATTTATCTAGATCAGGATAAGTTAGATTTTCTTAAAACCTCTTGTGTAGTCAGGGCAGGTTTTAATTTTAACATGTTAGCCAGTCAGGGTGAACCCATGACCCATTAACACATTAAAAGACAGCTTTCTGTCGACACTAAGGTTTTACAACTCAGCTCTCACAACCATACATGTTTTACCCTTGTGTAGAATAGGTGCTCGAGACAGAAACGCGAGTGCAGCTGGCACAAGTGGGACACATCTAAAAGATGGACTAAAAAAAGAAAGAAGAAAACCAGATTGATGGTTATAAATGTCCTTTCCTCTCCCACCTCCCATCCCAAGGAGACCCAGCAGTGATCTTTATTAGATTTCAATTTGGTACCACGAGTCAATAAAGATTTAACCGCTGACTCGGAAATGCCTTCCAGACTCCCACTATTTTAGCAGACAGGATTCCAGCCTCTCCGAAACAGACCGCTGTAATGTACTGGGAGGCGAGGAAAAATGTAACTGAGCTGCAGGGGGAAGGCCTGGGAACCAGAATGCGAACAGCCCAGGTCTTTTCCTCTTCCTAATCCTTCTATATGGAGTTCACATGTGGTTACAATTAACAATGAAAATCTTTATTTATTACCCTTAAGCAGAGAGGAGCAGACAGAAATTAAACAGTTTGCTTCAGCAGACCCTGGCATGTGGCTCAGCAATTTGTTTGAAAGCGAAGGCTGAGTTGAAAGGGTAAACTTTCTATATGATGCGTTTTGGTTTTGTAGATTTTTTTCTTTTCCAGGCATCAGGGAACCACAGCAAATCCACAACTGAGGACCCAGGATGAGAGATGGAAAACATCCTGCTCTTTGTTACAGACCACTCAGATCAACCCGGACTCCGTCCTCCACCGCTTCCCTGACTCAACATGGTCCGTACATCCCATTTCGTGCCTCTGCCTGAACAAAACGGGTTGGTCCCAAGGGAGTGTGTCCTACAGCAAGGTTTGGGTCCCTCCCCTCCTGGAGGTTGGCCTTTTGGAGAGCAGGCTGGAAAGGAAGAGTGGACAGGAGGAGACGAGTCCATTTAATCGTTCCCTACACCTCGGTCAATGAACCGCTGAGACGCACAGCTGGATGACTGGGACAACACAAAGCTATTTTCACAGCTGCCTCTCTCCAGCAGGACATCCTCCCAGGCAGAGTCCTCTGGAGAGGACACCAAGGGAGATACAGGCTGGAGTGGACATTGGAGGAAGAATGCAACCAAGAGCAACGTCCAAAACTAAGCTAGCGAAAGCCGCTCTCCCTCCAGGCCCGCAGGCACGGGGACCTTCAGAGACACCGCCACTCATTCCTGCCACCGATACCTTTCGGTAGTTCAGCAAAAGGATGTCCTCATCCACCTTCTTGCACAGAGCATTTCTAAACCACTGAAGCCACTTGCAGGAAACTTAGAAATGACCCCAGGACTCCTGTGAGCGTCCTCTGTGTGGCACCCAGATGTCCTTTGAGCCCGTAGGCAGATGGCAGTTGGCTTGCCTTCATCCCTGTAATGCTAATCTGCTAACATCACCTGCAGGGCATTATGAAGAGATGCATCATTTACTCGTCAGTAATTGTGTGCGGGTCAGCTGGAATTTCTCCTGCGCTTTCAGGAAAAAACCAACAACCCCGATGATAAAATAATACCACTTTGGAGCGGCACAGTGCCTTTCATCTGAGCAACTCAACAGGCTTTACCAATATCAATTAAGCCTCTGAAATACCCCTGCTGTGTATTATCTCAGGGCTCCACTGGGGAAACTGAGGCAGGTAGATTAAGTGACTTGTCAAGGTCATCCATGCCACGAGAGGGAAAGCTGGGGCTGGCATCGAGGCACTGAGCTCATCTTTCCGTCCTGCTGCATTTATGCTGTGGAACAGCAGACTGAAATGACTCTGCCTTCCTGAATGGCTTCTGGGCACGTCAGTTCCCAACTCCCGATTTTCTCTCAGCCTGCGTTTGAGTCCAGGTTGGCACATGCCGAAGGTGCTCCATAGGTCCAATCCAGTCCCTTTTCTATTCTACTTTACTTTCTGGGATGCAGTCTCTCCAGCCCACTGTATTCCCTGAGCAGGTATATGTGTCTAAGGCTGTCACTTCACATCATATATTCTTGAATACAAAGCGATGTGGAAAACGTATTGCTTGCCTATAGCAGGTCTGTTCTTGTAGCGGGGTAGTCACTAAATGGTTCCATATTTAGAACCATATTAAAGTTTCCACTGCTGCATGCCAGCACAATACGGATTCCCGTATTGCCATGATTACACAGGGGCTCATTCCCTCCCCACACTTGCTGGAGACAGAGAAAGAGAATAGGCCCATTAATGTTTTGTGGCGAGAGCCAGGAAGAAAAGGTGCGTTTCCTTCCCTCACATTAAATACAATCTGTTTAAGATGGTCCCTTGGGAGATTCCTATCCCTATGGTTGGTACACGGTTCCAGGTCCCTCCTCTCCCCAAATCAACAACAGATGCATTGCAGATGTGCATTATAGTCAACGGTTTGGAAATACAGATCTATTCTTGCTCCTTTGCACAGGGCTGCTTGTTGGGGTAAGTCGTGGGATACATAGCCTAAAACAGACTCTGGTTATTTATATAGACCTCTAATATTGTATCTCACTGTTGATTAAGCTGTTGCTCATTAAGGACCAATGATGCCTGGCTCCAGAGGCTGAGAACTGGCAACTCAAATGAAAGATACAGAAGCAGTACAATTTATCCATGTGCAAAGCTGTCTGCACACGGCTTATGTACTTTTTATGACCATCTCAAACAGTCCAAAAAGGGCTTCTGGGAGACTTAAGCAATATGTTGGTTACATGTTGACCCTTCTTTATAATTTGTGGTTTTAGTA